AAAAAACCAAACAAAAACAAACTCAAGAACAAAATGGAAAAAAGAAGCATTCAGCAATAAAAATGTTTAACAGACATTACTAGGCAATATTGTTTAGGCTACTTGTTGAACCACTCAATCCATTTTCACTTTTCTGGAGTGTTTTCACAACACTTGGCACCTGCAATCCAGTACTTACTGTAAGCCCACCACACCAGATCTAAGGGAGAAAAAGTAAAATAGTAAAAAAAATACACAAACAAACCAATATGCTGAACATTATGAAGTATCTACATATCTCTTCTCTACTACTTTAACCCAAGTAGTGTCTATGAGGCTGCTATCATGATCTCTAAGGTCCCTTCCAGCCTAGGCCATTCTATGACTCTGTGATGATTCTAGGATCATTAAATACCAGAGGCTGTATGATACAGACTACCAGGCTTAAGTGTGGTAAGCAAATGTTTCCTTGAATGCTTTGGGAACTGACTTCATGAGTCAGCCTCAGCAACGCTAGAGAGATGACCAACACATGGATCCCAACAGTTCTGAGGCTATTCTGTTCCCCGTATGTTGAAAAGAACCAGTAAGACAACTTGCTTAGTTACCTCCAGATAAATTGCTATTAAAAAAATCTAAACTCTTGCTCTTGGTGATCTAGCCAACAGCAGAAATTGTGAAAGGAGTTCTGTCTGATACAAGTGAAAAATCAGGTGTTTGGAAACGCTAGATTTTAGCCTGCCTGGGCAAGTTACTATTTCTACAAGATCAATGGAAGAATAACTTTATTAATTGGCCTAATCACACTTTAAAATTACCATGCCGTGTTTTCTATGGGCTGAATAATTACAAGAGGCTAGAGATCAATGCCTAGGCAGCTGAGTTCTTAGTATGAACTAGCATGCTAGCCTCCTCCAGATTCCTAAGTTTTCTCAAACCTATACCCTGCTCCAAAAGTATGATGCATTTGATGGCACCTTGTAATGCAGCTGAGGCCTCCAACAACAAATTACTTAAAATCATGAAATGAAAAACAATACTAATACAGTAACTAATCCCCTTCCTGTGCATTTTCTACAAGGTTTGAGTCTTTAGAATTGCTGCAAGTTTTCACTGATTAGCTTAGAACCACAAGAAATGTTATGCAGACCAGTGAAATTACTGGCAAGAAAACCCCATTGAGCTGTCAAAGATTTGAAAGCTAGAGTACTGAATCATAGAACGGCCTAAGCTGGAAGGGACCTTAGAGATCATTTTAATCCAGCCTCCCTGCCACCAGGGACGTCACCTCTCCACTAGATCAGGCAACACATGGGGACCGAAGGGGAAACGAACCCACGACCTTAGCGTTGTTACCGCCACACTCTACTGACTGAGCTAATCGGCCCCTAAATCTCAGAGGGAAGCAGCTGGTGTTGCTGTCTCATGACACGTACTCTGGGAGTTCACAGCATCCTGTACTCCTATGTGCAGCACTTTGGGTCAGTTATTGTAGTGGGCTCATCAGCTACAGGAATGTGCTATTAATTTACTCTACAAAAATCTAATGACTTGTATATACATAGTTGAGACATCCAGGTGCAGAGTTCTACTGCACTGCTATTATAAGCACCACATGAAACAAAAAAGTAGTTAAACATTTTCAAAATTATTAGTCAGTCAAACAGAGTGCTTCCAGTTTCCTCCTTTAAAAAATAATTAAGTCTCAGTAAACTGAATTCAATGCTAGAAACTGAACAAAATTTTATAGATACTGACCATGAATCCTGGTAATAATGGCTGGGTAAACTTTGTTCTGAAGGTGTGTAACAGCTCCTTTGAGTTTGCATTATAAAATGAAAGCTGACCTAAAAAAGGCAGAAAACAAGCTGAAATAGATGTTTACATGCTATCACTGAGTAACTTTTTGCAAAATTGATTCTTTTCCCATGAACAGTTTCCAAAACACACTAAATACAGTCCATATGACTGGAAAATTGTCAGTTAGTACCTCTGTTACATAGATGAACCCAGGTCATTTGACATTACAAGCATTATTACACAAACAGCTCTTGGCCTTATTTTCCCAAGAGACCAAATCAATCTGAAAATAATTCACTACTTCAGCTCTGTACTGCTTCAACTTGACACAGATAGCTAAGGTTTTAGTAAAATCTGGTGAGACGGTAATTTACCTCCGTCAAAGTCGCAGTATACTCCTATTCTGTCCGGAACAGGTATATCTAGAGTCTTGGTTTTATTATTATGTTTTGCTGAAAATGTTGTTTGCAGCCAGTTGTTGATATGGATGCACCAGCTTGAATTAGTCTTTCCCAGCTGGTCAAACTTCCCCAGATTTCGATATGTTACTCCCACACTATAGGACTTGCAGTCCTTCTGGGCTCTTACTTCCCAGTAATGCTGTCCACTTTCAACAGCAGTGTCTCCTACAAAAAAAAAAAATATATTTAGTTGCTGTAATTAAGTGTACCTTACAATGCCTGATTCCTCACAGGCACCAGTGGTGTCTTCTCGTTTTATTTTAAGGTGAAGGCTTAAAAATACAGAAATCTAAACTATAAGAAACAAACAAAAAAAAACAATGTACAAGGAAACAGAACAGAAATATGAAATTAGACAGTTTTTACTTATTGAGACATTTAACATCAATTCATATTTAATATCAGTGAATGTCAGTCACTAAGAGCTTTGTAATAAAGAGCTCCAACAGACCTGAAGGCACTTGCTGTAGCACGAAATTCTGCTGTTATGTACGCAGAACAGCACCAAGTACACAGCCTCAAACAATCACAAAGGTTCCCTCAAATTCTTACTTAATCTGCCCTTCCACAGCATTATACCTCTGTCAGAAGTAAAAAGTTCACCTTACCCAACACTGTGTATGATTCACCAGTAAAATGATCTCTGCTGCTCCTCAGCGAGGATCTTGTGCTAACAGATGTCCTCTTTGGAGACGGGGCACCACTTCTAAGAACAAATGAACCGTTCAGGATTCGGATGCAGCTACAGAAATGCACACTCAAACAACTTTTCCCAAGCCAATCAGGGTGCAACAAACACACATAAGCTATTGAAATGACACATTAGTTCAGCCACTTTGCACCTCTAACAGTATGCATGCACAAGGACTGAGAGAGATGACAGCCAGAACAAGTACCAGACATTGTAACAAACAAGTTCAGAGGCAGCTGAGAAACAGGAGAGAAAAAAAGCAGATGTGCAGCACATGTTTTGAGTGAATGTCTGTATCAAATAGTGATTTGCCTGCACTATGAAGAACCTTAGAGAATTCATGTATCTGGTTTTCCATGTAATATTTCTAAAAAGTCTTGTAGATCAGCTACAACAATCGGGCAAGTATGAATACACCGCTGATATTCAAAGCCAAAATGCCTTATTTTCACTGGAATTTAAGTACCAGCAAATGGGAAAACAACATCAGTTGTATTAAAGCTAGGTTTTTTAGCACATGTATGGCTTGTATAATCAAGGACTGAAATCCCAGGAAAGAGAATAACCCAATGAAAAATTAAGGGAATAAAACTGTGATAATTTTATTTAAAGAAAATACACATGCTGAAGATGATACAAAACCCAAGAGTGTCAAATCTAAACAATCTTTGTATTATAAAAAAAAATGACACTTCCAGAGTTTAAGGCATCACAAATCTCGTAAAAAAATTATTTACAACATACATATGTTGAGGGATGGGGATTTTATTTTATTATTAACTCTATCAAAGACTTCAGAAAATTGTGTAACAATACACTGCGCTCTGACGAACACAGCAACTCCCCAAGAGTCATAATAAAATCTAAGTCTAATTCCAACCAAGAAAGGCTTCAATTTTCTAATCATACTTTTCAAAAGCATTCCCAGGAAGAAATAGCAAAATAAATGATGGCACACTTTGCTTTGGAGAATATTTAATGAGCAATCAGCTGCACGAAGGAGAAATTTTAACCTAACGAGGTTTTCAAACAATTTATTTCACTTCGTTTATGCCCTCAGAAATGATTTCTAGCAATTTAAGCATTGAAGAAAATTAAGGCTATTCACAAATGACAGTGAATATTAAATTTCTTTAACTTGGGAATCACATCCAGTTATTATTTTAAAAGTAATCAGTGGCAATGATTTTCAACTCCTCAGAAATAGCTATGGAGTTTTCAGTTTATTGACAAAAAACCAGAAGTACAAAGTCTCTGAAATACATATGTGAGAAGTTATTTTCAAATCCTCATCCTCTGTAGTCTATCACACATAGCTTTAGAAGAGTTACCACATACAAAAGGAAGTTTCTACTCCAACTTTTCCTTCAGCTACAACTTGGTAAAGCTAACTGCTACTTATACATCCACTAATACAGTGAAGTTTAACTTGTTTCCTGTCTGATTCAACAAAGATTTCGAATTTTCTGGACCTGTTCTCAAATACCATTTCATAAAGAGTTGGAAAATGTCCCTCTTGTCTAATGCTTTCTTTAAAAAAAAAAAAAAAGTCACATGGGAATCAAGAGCTGAAGGGTATTAAGCTGTCATACTTAAGTATGCTACGATCTGTCTAATTTTCATGACTAAGTTTGTTTTATTCCAGTTACAGAAGTCTATAAGAAGTCACTGATGAAAAGGTTGTCCACTTTAATATCATCATTTAGCATACAAATTTGACAGTACTGATCAGAAAACAAATAAGCTTCAAAATTGTTGCATGAGTTACATGAAGAGGTGAGTATTGTGCAAGTGCATCACATCAAATAGTTTTGAATTTTGTTAACATGGAAGAAGTCATAATTTACTTACCAAAGGAAAAGGAAACAAGTGACAGCATGGGAAGGCGGGGAGGGCGGAGGGGGAGAAAAGCAAAGCCAAGAATTAAAGCGTAATTTCAGGGGAAACCATCACACTTTTCAGATTGCATCCTCCTTCAAGCACATTAGACCATTTGCTCATACTTCTAGCAAAAGCTGCTGAAATTTTTCTGTTAGAATCAGTATGAGTTATGCAAAAAGCAATGTGGCCATTTAGAGAATCACCATTTGAAAAATGCAGATGCTTCGCTAGTGTTTCCTTAAAGCCAGGAAGGAAGCTATCACTTTGTTCGAGTCTTCTGTAAATGGCCACTGCACGTGCTTTGTCCACTCAAAATCTAACAGCCTTTAACAGTTCAGCCAACGATATTAAATATTTGGCACAAAAGTTTTAAAGACTTATTGTTTTTGGTTTTTTTTTTCCTCAAAGCTTAAGTCTCCCTTCCAATAGGAAATTTTATAGCAGAAAGTCAGTTTGGTGCCCATTTTCTAACACAGCAGACTTCTCTCATGAGCTGGCATAGTAACATTCCTTCCACGATTCAGTGACCAGGTACCCCCATCTTACGGTGAGGATTGTTGCCTACAGCACTGAGTTAGTCTCAGTTTTATTATTCATTTCAGCAAATTAAATAGATTCCAAAATATGTACCCTCTTTTGGAGCAGAGAAGTCAAGGAGGGACATCAGAAGTTATCCAGAAGGTTTTTTCCAGCCTGATAAACATGTTACAGATCATTAAGCATTTTATTGCCATTGTGTCCCTCCTACCCTTGAAAGTTACACATTTCATTTTGAAACAATTACACTGCAACTTTTTCCAGCAATTATGAAGCTAGCTTCACATTTTCTCTCTAATAAAGAAAACATCACAAAGATACTCTTAACAGGGAACAAAAGCCTTTGATACTTGAAAGTATCAAAGCTCGTCTAAATTCTGTTCTAGAAAAGGTCAGCTGAGGTGCAAAGCTGAGCATGTGAACGTGTTCTCCTATGAAAGTCAAGTCTAGAACTAGGGAAGTTCTTTCCTGACAACTACAAAGTGAGAGCAACGTGTAAGACTCCCAGAGTTTGTTGAGCAAGCACTAATATCTCCAAAAGAGTTCTAAAACTTAGTTTAGCAGAAATTGATATACTTTCTGTGTAGTGGAACTATCCACACTGCTCAGCTTCAAGAGCTTGTTTTGCTTACACTTTACTGCTCATCTCAAGCCAAAGATACATCCACCATATGGACCAATATAGAGGAGTAAAACCGAACAGAAAGTAGGAATCTAGTAATTTCTTTTGGTCTCACAACCTCTAAACTCATGAAAAAGAGGAAAAAAGGGAGAAGTAATTTCTCAAACAGGAATTTTATTAAAATAACAATGAAAAAATGTTCACACTAAAAAAACACAATTGCACAAGGAATAGTGGAATATTTTAGCTGCCTTTACATAACAGAAAAGAGGCTCTCTGATTTGAATAATTGGTTCCACATGTAGAATTGCCACAAAGCCTTTCACATATGCCATCTGGCTAAACTTCACCCTCTTTGACTACGTAAAAAAAGTTCTTCCTTTTCCTCTGATGTCTAGTAACAGCTACAGAACAAGTTCAGAGGGAAAAAGTTTTTCAGAGTCAAAACTAAGAACTAAAAAAATTATTTCAAAGTTCTCAGAAAGGAACTCTTTGCTGCACTTGTAAAAAATTCAGTGTGCCATGTACCAGAAGGTTAAGTAAGCATCAATACATTTCTAAGTAACAAGGATCTTTGTATCAACACTAGAATACATAATGATCTTCCAACCATTGCAAATCAGGTCTCCCACACAGTTGGACACATCTTTCGAGGAAGACTAGTTTCCTGCCACTGGAAAATATATACACAATTTCTATGAATCCAAATTAAACTTCAAAATAATTTTTAAAAGCATATGTGTACTGTTACTGATAAAGGCTATTAGATTTATACCTCGCTACATCAAGCACAGAGAAGTAGCATAGACTCCAAACAAAACTAGGAGCTAGATCCTAGGAATAAGAGGTATATTATCACCTTCTATTGCTCTTCAGCAGAGGATTCTGGCCACTGTCGACAGAAATAAGTAGTCATTAAACAACTGTCTTATAATTTATAATCCCCAGTTTTAAGATGCCACTAAAACTAATTCTACTATGCTTCTGGCAGTATAGTTCTATAGGTAAGGTATTTGTTCATAAAGTATCTCAAGCAGTGCTTTTTATACCAAAAAGAGCACGTTGGAAGTCAATTAATTGTCTCTGAGGAAGAAGCAGCCAGCTCTATGGACAAGGCAAGAGCAACGGACACTGTTCACACCTTGGCCTTTAGCACAGCTTTTGTCCCATTCCCACACAGTATCCCCAAATCTCAAGAGCTGAGACACAGACTGGGTAGTGGGCCATAAGCCGTGTACAGAACCAGTTGAACACCAGGCTCACAGCTATGAACTGTTCCCCAGATGAGAGAATCCCACACAACAGGAAGGGCTTCGGGACAGCTAAGGAAAGAGCAAGTCTCCAGAAAAGCAGCCAGGAGTCTTGGAGGGCAATAGGAGCCGGCAACAGGTGGACAACAACAGTGGACAACACACTATACCATGCTCTTACAGCAGAGGTGGCCAACCACACCCTGCGCTGTTGCAGCAAGACAGCAACCAGGAGGCCACGGCAAGGGAAAGCTCCTCTCGACCCGGCACTTGTCAGAATAAGCCTGAAGTGCTGTGTCCAGGTCTGGGCTCCTCAGGACTACACACTGACATATTAGAGCGCACCCAGTGGAGGGCCAACAACAGAATTAAGGGTCTGCAGCACAGGAAGACAATTGGGTTTGCTCAGCCTCAGAGACACAAGAGCTAATTTCTGGCTTTAACGATATAATAGAACGGTACAGAGATAGAGCCAGGCTTTTCTCAGAGAGGTGCACACTGTTAGCTGAGAGGTACTCTTTGCACCACAGGATATTCCTCCTCTCCCATGAAAGTGTCCTGGAACAGAGGCCCAGCAAGTTAATGCATTCTTCATCCCTGGATATATTCAAGACTCAGTCACAATAGACTGATTTAGTTATGTTCTTCCAACCATATTTACTCAGTGATTCTGAATAGCACATATCTAGGTGCCTAACACTCAACATCCACGTAGAATTCTCCTGAAGTTACTTAAGTACTCTTCCTAGATTAAAATAGTTGGTAATTATGTTCAGGGCTGCCATTTTCTGCAAGAGTTGTGTTCCATTATCTGTTATCTTTTTCTATCTTTCAGATAAACTCAAACACCACCTATAGTACTAATTTTATTTAACCATAGCTACTTCAGAAGGTCAAAGCAGCCAGCTCTTTCCTTATTCTTCATAGCAGAAAAGCTGTCTACTCACCAGTACCAACCTGCAACACTCCTAAACACAGAATGACATATTTTGCTTGATGACATTTACCTTATCTACTCTCTTGGATTTATATAGCAAGGTTTTGGCAGCAGGAGAGCTGCAGGACTGGCTTCTGTAAGAAGATGCAAGAAGCTGTCTCTGTGACAGACTGAGACAGTGCCAGCCAGCTGGAGCTTCCAACACAGACCTGATGGTGGCCAAAGCTAAAGCAGTCAGTGACCCAACATATACGTCTGTGATGACATATTTCAGGAAGCGTAAAAAGTGCTGCACAGGACCTGGGAGAGAGGAGTGAGAACACAGCCAACCTGCAGCCTGTAGAGGACAGAAACAGGCAGATGTACCCTGAGGGAAGCCGCAAGCCCATGGAGAGCCCACGCTGAAGCAGGTTTGCTGGCAGGACCTGTGACTCTGGGAGGGGGACTCACGCTGGACCAGTCTACTCCTGAAGGACTACACTCCACGGAAAGGTCCCATGCTGGAGCAGTTCAAGAAGGACTGTCTGTACTGGGTGGACCCCACGCTGGAGCTGGGGGTTCTTCTCACGAAGAACATGAGAAGCAAGGGGCAGCAGAGACAACTCATGATGAACTCACTGCAACTCCCATTCCCCATCCCCTTACAATGTTCAGAGGGAGGAGGTGGAGAAGTTAGGAGTGAAATACAGCCTGGGAAGAAGAGGGGACTAGGGGGAAAGTATTTTAAGATTTTTTTCTTATTTTTCACTACCCTACTCTAACTTTTAACTGGCAATAAATTAAATATCCCCAAATCAAGTCTGTTTTGCCCATGACAGTAATTGTCGAGTGATCATCCTGTTCTTATCTAAACCTGTAATCGTATTTTTTTCCTCCCACTGTCCAGTCAAGGAGAAGAAGAAACAGCACAGCTTGGTGGGCACCTGATGGCTAGCCAAGGTCAGCCCACCACATCTACAAGTTATTTCAGTACCTTGAATTGTAGTCTATAAAAATTTATCTTTAAAATAATCAAACCCTATTTAACAATTAAGACACATTTCTAATAGCTTCCACAATTAGACTGCACATCTGTGTGACAGAGGAAGAAAAATAAAAAGTTAAATTTCTCCCAGAGAAAAGATTTGTGAATGAAAATTCCTTTGGTGTCCCACTATGCTCAAGTGCTTTAATTTCTTCCCTCAATTGTCAAAGGAGACATCCCAGAAAATGTAAACAATTACAAAACAGAGTTCCTACCTGCTTTTATTTTCCTTTCCTTTCAATTTTTCTTGGCCTTTGCCTCCAGTAGGATCCCATTCAACATAGGTATCTTCAACTTTCAAGTTCAGATGAGATGAAGTACTGTCCAAACTGAACACAAATGCTGGTCAAGACAAAATGCAAAACAGTGAAATGGTACAATGCCCTCTCCCAATAGTAGCTCTTCAAAGAAAAGGAAAGAAGCAGCAGTAAAAGCAGAGCACTATTCAGCTTAAGAGAAATACCAGCTTTTTAATCTGACACTTGTAAGCAAGGTAAGGAGTCCTTTAAATAAAGCCTAACTACCTGCCTTCAGTGTACAGGTTACATTATACATCATCTTTATAATGCTGCAGCATCAGCAGTTAAATTCAGCGAGTGCTTTCTGCTAGTTACAGCCTACTTCCTAGACTCTTACAATCCTTATTGATTTTTAAAAGATATGCTTATTTTCTACACTCTGCAGCACTAATTCTCCAGCAAGGTGTTTACAACTAATAAGGATTACAAACTTGGAGAATACTACATCAACAGGGTATCACATACAGGCAGAGTTGAACTGTGAAGTCAACTGCAGGTGCAAGAACAGTAAGGGATGCATGCAACTAGAAGAGATTGCTAATCGCTGCAGACAAGTCCTTCATCCAAGAAAACAAAACTAATGAAACATGCCAAGTTCCCTAAAGAAACTTATTTACAGACTGTTCTGTAAGTGTCCTAATACCAGCTGATACTATGTTCTGATTCCAGAAGAAAGTATTTTGAGATTTTAAGAGTTTAGAGTTCAACAGTACACAAGTCTAAAAAACATTACGGTGACCATATAGATGAGGATACTGAGTTTCTGTGGGTTGATGATTAAAGGAAGTAAATATTCACACAGAAATAAAAATATGGAAAGCATGATAACTGCTCAAACAATCAATGTCAGAATTATTTCTCTGGTACTGGAGTAAGAAATATAAGTGGCTATTAAATGGATACTATATATCTGACAATGACTGTTGCTTAAGAGTATTAAGACTACTTTAGAAAAGTTACCAGAATGCCCAGCAGCTCACACTGCAAACAGCTTTGGTTTTACAGTAGCAAGAAAAAGTACGTGAATCTTTTGGAATT